GTTGAAACATAAATATTGCCAAACAAAGTGTTTATATTTGATTGTAACAGGCCCGTAGCCAGGATTTGCAAAGGGGGGGGGGTTCAGTTTTCAAAAATATCCAGGGGGGTTCATATTTGACAAAATAGGCCCAAATATGGCTAAAATCCCTTGAGAAGTGCTCAAAATGGTGAAAATTGCATGATTTTGAAAGAATATTTGGCCAAGGGGGGGGGGGGGGGGGGTTCGCCCGAACTCTGCGAACCCCCCCCCCCTGGCTACGGGCCTGTTGTAAAGAGACTTTATGGAAACCCTGTTATATTAGTAGGTAGTAAGCTAGGACACAAAAATGTTTTTACCAGTGAACAAATTGAAATTACTTGTTTCTTATGTATTTTTATGTGATACTTCAGAAATTTGTTGTCTGACGTGCCGTATCCGGGGCGAAAGTTGCCAAAGTGGGGTTTTTGACCCTAATATAGAAAATAACAAGGGGTACTTTATTATCCTTGAATAACTTTTTCAGTTGATCTTTAATCATCACAATAACTTTACTGGAAGTTGTTAATATCATTCTTGATTAGTATGCAAAGTTTCCATGATCTGTCATTAATGGTTGTCATGGAAACCATGATCTTTGTTGAAAAAGTCCATAAATTTGGTAAACCTGCACCTGTACATCATAAAGAATAGGCATTATTTTTCAAATCAACAGATCTCAGAACATGTTAGGACTCTAAAAATTATCAGGACAGTTCAGACATTTGTTTAAATATAATGGATATTGTTATTCACATGATTGGTAAGTGTCAAAGACCATACAGTTACAAAGGTGATCAAAAGTGGGCGTCGCCCTTATAATAGTAGATGATTACCATTCCCTTTAAATACATATTTTAAGTTGACTTGAGATACAATTATAATGTACTTCTATTGCCATAATCTATATCAAGCAATTCTGGTAGATACATATAAGTGTTGTAGGTATTACATCATGCTTGGGATGGTGGGTACATTGGGGGGGGGGGGGTGGTAGAGGTACCCAGCCTTATATAAAACTCATATACAAAGTTTAATTTCATGTAATACATCTTTTGGATCTTGTTCTGATTTATCTCAATATATAGGATATTGCAATTTACATTATTGGAAAGTGTATATTAATAAGACCATACAATACAACAAACATAAGTGTTTAAAAGTGGGGTTTGCCTTCATAATAACAGGGTTCATACACCTTTTTTAAAATGAAATTCTGTGACATTTCCAGGCAAAAAAGGAAATTCTTGCGCAGCCTACTAAAAAGTCTCAAACAACTGTACAAGACTTATAATGAAACATTTTACCCAGTACCCAGTAAATGTCAAGGGGGTGAAATTCTTTGGGTTTGCATCACTATGAGTGAAGCGAAACCCAAAAGGGAATACTGGGGTTCACCTCCCAAAATTTTAAAAAATTTGCATTGTAAATGGTGCATTCAAACATTTCAAACTATAATTTGTCAACTACTGATCATTGTTAACATTATATGATAACAATAACCTGGCATTACTATTGTCTTCACCCCTTTGGGAAAATCCACACCAAGACATGACACCATATTAGAAATTCCTTCTCTAGTAGCGTCACTATACGGAATAGTCCTATGATACCAAATAAAAAATTCGGTATTTGTGTTATCAGGAATATTACCTCATCTGAAAACAGCAACTTTTTGAGTAGCAACAAGCTTTTTTCTTGAACAGAGTCATGTGCCCATCTGCAAAATAAATCTGAACCAAAAATGGTGAGTGTCTTTTTGAGCAGAGGCCCCATATAACCAAAGCATCAGTATATAAAGTCTGATATTTGAGTTATTGCCTTGACAGATGGGCAGGTGAATAGACTGACGTAAGACAGCTTCTCATATAAATACAGATTTACACAGAATCGTTATTGTTTTTCACCACCCACCCTCCTCAGATTAAACCCTCAACAAAACATGAAACATATACCAATAATTAACTATGAATGGCCTAAGACTAACTTACTACAAGGAAAAGCATAATTGTATTGAACCATCTATACATACTGTATATGTATATTCTTTATTGTTCGGTTTCAGTATAATGTTCACAATGTTCTTATAAATAGACAATACCAGATAGATTGTCATCCAATCAACCCTAATGAAAAGATTTCCAATTAGTGGAAACAACTGAATGTTAGAATTTGAATTTCATTGATATCCTGTCATAGCCTAAAATGTATTTTGCTGGAACATTATATTTTCAACATTGATACAAAATACCCTGACATATCTACTGTTTCAAAATTCCCGGACATTTTTGTCTCTTTTTGACCCAATTTTAACATTACCAGCACCTGGAAAAATCAATTTCCCTGTCATTCCTCATCATGAGAAATGATGTCTTTCTATTCTAAATTCTAAATATGGAGTATAACTTATAAGATACAATTACATGAATTATACTGTATTTCTGTTATATTACCATAATTCATATCTAGCATTTCTGGAAAACACATATAAGTCTTGAAGTGGGGGGATAGAATGGGTGGGGGGGGGGGTGGGTGGGCAATGCTAGTCAGCCTTAGGTATAAATCTCATCAACATAATTTTGTGTCTCATAGTCAGTACATTTCTTGGCCTTGCATTTTCTTAGCATATTGTGGTCTTTTCCAATCATTTAACATTAACTGGCATAGTTGCTTCTTGTTTGCATCATTCTTCAAGAACTCATTCCAATCTTTTGGGACTCTTATATTTCTCCCTTTGGTTAAGTTGCTGCCAAGCCTCTTCTCATCCTTTCATACCAAAATATGTTAAGCCCTCCCAGCATTTCACG